CCATCTCAACATCATCTTTACTGGTCACGTTGATGCGGGCAAGTCTACCATGGGTGGTCAGCTCTTGTACTTGACTGGCGCCGTCGACAAGCGAACAATGGAAAAGCTTGAGCAGGAGGCGAAGGCTGCCGGTAGGGAGACCTGGTACCTCTCTTGGGCGTTGGACAATGGCAAAGAAGAGCGAGCGAAGGGAAAGACCGTTGAGGTCGGTAGGGCGTACTTTGAGAGTGACAAGAGAAGATACACCATCTTGGACGCACCCGGGCACAAGACCTATGTGCCTCATATGATTTCCGGTGCCGCCCAAGCCGATGTTGCTTTGCTCGTAAGTCTTGATTCATGTCTCGTAGTATCACGCTGACACCCGGCTAGGTACTGTCTGCCCGAAAGGGCGAGTTTGAGACTGGTTTCGAGCGTGACGGTCAGACCAGAGAGCACGCCATGCTTATCAAGAACAACGGTATTAACAAGCTTATCGTTGTCGTCAACAAGATGGACGACTCTACTGTCCAGTGGGACCAGGGCCGTTACGACGAGGTGACTTCCAAGATCACTCCCTTCTTGAAGGCTGTCGGTTTCAACCCCAAGACCGATATCACCTTTATCCCCGTGTCCGCTCAGGTCGGACAGAACATGAAGGACAGAGTCGACCCCAAGCTTGCGCCTTGGTACGAGTAAGTGTTGACAACATTTCTCCCTCGTCATGTACTGATTGTGGTGTAGGGGCCCTGCTCTTTTGGAGCACCTCGACAACATGACCATCATGGACCGAGACATCGACGCTCCCTTCATGCTTCCCATTTCTGAAAAGTACAACGAGCTTGGTACGATGGTGATGGGCAAGATCGAGTCTGGTCGTGTCAAGAAGGGTGACACTTTGCTCATGATGCCCAACAAGGTGAGCAAAGTCCCCTTTCCCTTGAGCTGGAGTTGACAGAGATATAGCACACCGTTGAAGTCGCTGGTATCTTCTCCGAGCAGGCCGACGAGATGGAAATGGCGTTCTGTGGTGACAACATCCGAATCCGTATTTCTGGTGTTGCCGACAAGGACATCACCCCCGGTTTCGTGCTCACCTCGGTGCAAAAGCCTATCAAGACCGCTACCGCTTTCAGGGCTGATATCTCGGTCATTGATACCAAGAACATTATCTGTCCCGGTTACAGCTGTGTTCTGCACGTTCACACCCTCGCTGAGGAAGTCACTGTCACTGTAAGTATACCATCGCGTTCGATGGGCGTAGCTGATTAATGTCTCAGCAATTCCTCCACTACTACGAGAAGAAGACTCGAAGGAAGTCCAAGAAGCCTCCTCAGTTCGCCAAGTCCGGCATGCTCATCTCGGCCATCATTGAGACCACTGCTCCCGTCTGTATCGAAAAGTTTGAAGACTACAAGATGCTTGGTCGATTCACTTTGCGAGATGAGGGTGCGTCTTCTCTCACTTCCAACAGTATTCATGAGACTGACTTGAACCCACAGGTAAAACCGTTGCTATCGGCAAGGTGACCAAGCTCATGAAGAGCGAGGATGTTCCTGATATCGCTGGTTTGGCCATCAAGGCGTAAGGTGCTGCTGGAAGTTGACTGAAGGGTAGTAGACGGGGATAGTAGAAAGCTTGGTGCCTAATACCAAGATGTGTAGCGTAGAAAGTTCCATTCACTAGACCCCTCATTTCCCAATCTGTGTTCTCTGAGATCTGACGTTGTTTTCCTCTATCGATTCTCTACCAAAATGAAATGCATTGTGCATAGTCTTGCCGGCGGATCATGGGCTGAGCCACCACCCTGGGTGGGGGTCGTGTCGAGGCAGGATCGACCATGGGGTGAAATTTGAATGGCTGTGTATGTATGGCTGGCCTTCTTAAAAGACCCCCCTTCTAGACGCGAAACGCGAAATTCAGGGAAACATCAGAGCCGCGTTTGAACATTTCATCGGGGCATCTCCAACCTTGTTTATCTCTCATCGCCCATTCCTTGTTCCTCCCCCAAGCACACCCCCAATCTTCTACAGAAAATCAGCGCGCATCCCACTAGACCTGAATACCCCTATAACCGCCGCTTCTACAGAGACAAAAACCGTCCACCATGGCCGATGCTGGCGCTGCTGTTCTGCCCGTCGCGAACGTGAACGTGAGTCGCGTCGCCTGTTCCTCATAAACCGCATAATGCAATGGCTTACGACCGCTTTCACCACAGATCAACTACGATGAAGAGTCTGGTGTGTCTCTCCCGCCTGGATGGCACCTTGAACATCAACTAACAAGGCTTGACCCCTGATAGGCAAGATCGAAGACTTTCTTCTCAACTTTGTCCCTATACCCTGCAACCGTCGACACCAAGCCCCCATCCCTGCAGACAATGATGCTGCTGCCGAAGAGACATCTGAAGATGACGATGACTTGGCGAACGGATTGGATGGATTGAATGTTGGTGGTGCGAGGAGGCAAAAGCACAAGTACCAAAGGATCATGAGAGAGGTCGCGAACAGGCGCAGGACAGATGTGGTCGTCAACCTCAAGGATGTTGATGATGTGAGCGGTACGAGTTTAATTATGGGATAGACACTGACGAGCCTGTAGTATTTCCAAGACAAGAGTCTTCTCAGTAACATCGAAAATAACACGCGCCGATACATCCAGCTCTTTGCCGACATCATCGACAAGATCCTGCCTGAACCTGACCAGGAGGTCGACTTTACTGGAGATGTTCTGGATCTCATCATGCAGCAGAGGCGAGAGATGAACGCGCAAATCCAAGCTGGGGAGAGGCCCGGAGACACCAACATGTTCCCCCCAGAGTTGATGCGACGATAGTGAGTCATTCCCAGCCAACTACCATTTATCAATCTGACTTTCTGCTAGTAATGTCTACTTCAAGCCCAAGAGACGCCAGAATGAAGTGCTCGCGGTCCGAGCGGTCCGTGGTTCCCACTTGGGCAAACTCATCACCGTCCGTGGTATTGTCACCCGTGTCTCTGAAGTCAAGCCCCTTCTTGTTGTAAACGCCTACACTTGTGACATGTGTGGAAACGAAATCTTTCAAGAAGTCACCCAGAAACACTTTACTCCTCTGGTCGAATGCCCCAGTGAGACCTGTAAAGTCAACCAAACCAAGGGTCAATTGCACATGCAAACCCGAGCGAGTCGATTCAGGCCTTTCCAAGAGGTCAAGATCCAGGAAATGGCCGATCAAGTCCCTGTCGGCCACATTCCTCGTTCAATGACCATCCACCTCTATGGCGCTCTCACTCGAACGGTCAACCCCGGTGATGTTATCAACGTTGCCGGTATCTTTATCCCCACCCCTTACACCGGTATGCGAGCTCTTCGTGCTGGTCTCTTGCAGGATACATTCCTCGAAGCCATGTACGTTCACCAGCTCAAGAAGCAGTACCACGCCATGGAAGCTACGCCCGAAATCGAACAGGCTATCGCCGACCTGAAGGAGGACCCAACACTGTACGGCCGATTGGCCAACTCTATCGCCCCTGAAATTTACGGCCACGAGGATGTCAAGAAGGCTTTGCTGCTCTTGCTTGTTGGTGGTGTTACCAACAACAGAAAGGATGGTATGAAGATCCGAGGTGATATCAACGTCTGTTTGATGGGTGATCCCGGTGTTGCCAAGTCTCAGCTCCTGAAATACATCACCAAGGTTGCTCCTCGAGGTGTCTACACCACTGGTCGAGGTTCAAGTGGTGTCGGTTTGACCGCCGCGGTCATGAGGGACCCTGTCACCGATGAGATGGTTCTTGGTAAGTCGTTTTTCCCCCCTACAAACGGAACTGACCCAAAACAGAGGGTGGTGCTCTTGTCCTTGCCGACAACGGTATCTGCTGTATTGATGAATTTGACAAGATGGAAGAGTCCGATCGAACGGCCATCCACGAAGTCATGGAGCAGCAAACCATCTCCATCTCCAAGGCAGGTATCACCACAACTCTCAACGCTCGTACCTCCATTCTCGCCGCGGCGAACCCTCTCTACGGTCGATACAACCCCAAGATCTCTCCCGTCGACAACATCAACCTTCCCGCCGCTCTTCTGTCTCGTTTCGACGTCATGTTCCTCATCCTTGATACCCCCACCCGGGAAGACGACGAGCGATTGGCTCAGCACGTCTGCTACGTGCACATGAACAACACCCACCCCGAGCTCGACTTTGAGCCCGTCGAGCCGACATTGATGAGGCACTACATTGCCGAGTGTCGAAAGATTGAACCTCGGGTCCCTCGAGAGCTGTCCGAGTACATTGTCTCGAGCTATGTCCGCATGCGACAGCAGCAGCAGGAAGACGAGGCTGAGGAAAAGTCTCACTCTTACGTCTCTGCCCGTACGTTGCTTGCCGTCCTGCGTCTCTCCCAAGCGCTTGCTCGTCTGCGACACGACGACGTTGTTGGAAACGCCGATGTAGACGAGGCCCTCCGTCTTATGGATGTCTCCAAGGCGAGTTTGCAAGAGCAAAGTCAGCAGAGGAATGGCGAGGATCAGACCAGCACGAGTAAGATCTTCCGGATCATCAAGGACATGGCGCAGAGGGCGGCGGAAGATGATGAGGAGATGGGCGAGTTGACGATGATGGATGTGAGAGGCAGGGTGATCGCCAAGGGCTTCACCGAGATGCAGATGATGGACACCATCCTCGAGGTGAGTCTATTCTTTTATCAATGGTATACGTGGGCTGACCAGTCTAAGTACGAAAACATGGACATTTTGATGCGCACTGCCAATGGCAACAAGTTGCAGTTCGTCTCTGCTTGATCGATGTAACATGGATGGAGGGGTGTTCTGAATGGGTTGTTACGATTATACTTATGTTTTTGTCTTGGGATACTATATACCCGGCTTTCATGGCCATGCTGACATGCATGATTGACTCGCGAGGTTCATACAGATTACTCGTACTCTAGAGTACTCTACAGTAAAAGGTGCTGAGATCTGGTCGGGGGCCGGCGAGATGCGTCCCGATTTCCGCTTTTGTCGTCACTTTCCTCTATTTACTTATTCTCCGAGCTATATTTCTTCCATCCTCCATTCTTGCTTCCCCTGTACATTCTATCACCTCTCCCCTTTCCGACATACAACCACAATGGCCGCCCCCCGCCGCAACGCATCAGGCATCGTCCTCGATCCGGGCACCTCCCAACGAGTCATCCCCCAGTCCAGGCGCCCCGATGGAACGTACGCAACCGATCTAGCCTCCTATGACGCAAAAGCTGACCTCGTCTATAAAGCTTAAGGAAAGAACAGAAAGTGCGGCCTGGCTGGACACCGCAAGAAGACGTTGGCATTTTCCGTTCCGCCCGCAGAGCTGCTAGAGATCCCAGCTACGCCTCTGCCAATCCCCAGCTCCATATCCGCGCATCCATCCCCGGGTCACGCCCACCTCCCTCCCGCACACAGACTCCTACGCTAGCAGGCAAGGACACAGACGAAGACGATTTGATCAAAGCCATGTCGAACGTCAAATTGGATCAAGGAGGAAAAAAGGAGCAATTCAAGACGAGTGAAGAAATGTTCCCGCCTCTGAGAGGGACTGGAGCGCCGATAGACCCGGTCAAGAAGGAGAACAAGACGGAGAATGGGTCACCGTCGACTATTGCTGCCATCGAGCCCACTCCTCCTGGGCCGTCGAAACCTAGTGACCCAGCGCCCATCACCTCTCAAAAACCCGACATCAAGTCACCATCTCCGCTTGCGACCAATCATTCCTCTCCCAGCGACAACAAGGGGAGTCCGTCCGTCATTACCGATCGCGCAGCGGAAGTGAGGCGTCCTAGTCCCAGTCAATGGCCACAACGCGTTAGCTGGCAGGCCAACGGACAGGTTCCTCGTGGTAACCAGGACCAGGCCAGAAGTGGTTTAGGGGCTGCATCGGGGTCATGGCGCTCGAATTGGCGCCCTTCTCCTCCTGCTCAGCAGCCTGCAGCAGGACAGAGTGGAAAGGACACTGCCGCGCAGGGTGATGGATGGGGCGAGGCAAAGGAAGATAAGGCTGAGAGGAAGGCAGGAGGTAGTCTGGTTGAGGATATCAAGAAGCTGGCATAAGAGGGGCAGCAGTGCGTGGTATGTAGTTGCTCAAAGGTGTCAAGCTGACTTTAATGCAGAGAAGAACCCCTTCTTTCACTGTGGTTGGCATCTTCAACCATATGTGAAGCCATTGAGAATTGTAGTGGTCTTTCTGAACATGTTTTTTGTACCAATATCAATCTACATCTGTCCACTGTTCTCCATCGTATAATTAGATGCACAATTGCATCCTACAGTTCCTTTCCCTGGTCATGTGCATTCACCGGAGGATTCAATCTGCAGTCGATCCGTGGTAGCCAATCAACCACGCCCACAGCCCCGCCTCGCAAGCCGACGGCAACACTTGGTTGTTCGCGCGCGCGTCATCTTCGCGTTCTTCTTACCTCTTTATAGACCTCAAGTCGCCTCGCAACCAACATTCTTGGACTGTCATGAGGCCCTCCATCCCTCGGCTCTCCAGGCTCATAGCGAGCACCCACCCTATAGCCCAGATACGCGTCGCCTCCTTACCCCTCCCTTGCACCTCCTCGCTCAGACCTCTCAAATCCACCACCCTCCCCCCACCTAGCCCAGCATCCACCCAAATCCGAGCCAACCACTCTCACTCTTACACCACCCCTCCTTCTTCCCAGATCAAAGACCAAGTACCGGTGGAATTGTCGTATGATGTGGTCGAGCCTTCGAAGCCGTCGCCAGAGGCCGAGGGGCAGAGCTTGGTGATCTGCCATGGGCTTTTGTAAGTGATACATGGAAGACGTGATGGCAAAGGCTGATGTGGGAGAGTGTAGTGGGTCGAAGCAGAATTGGAGGTCTCTTGCCAAGGCGTTTGCTGCCCAGCTTGGTATGCCAGTCTACACCCTCGTACGCGCCTCTCCTCGCTGTCCATTCGACCCAAGCTCATGTTCTACTCTCCAGGACCTCCGTAACCATGGTCAATCCCCACACGCCTCTCCCCATAACTACGCTGCCATGGCCGCCGACATCCACCACTTTTTCCAAGCCCGCAACCTCACATCAGGCGTCAACCTGCTAGGCCACTCGATGGGTGGAAAGGCGGTGATGGCGGTGGCATTGAATAAAGAGCTGAATGGGGCGTTGAGGACGCTGATTAGTGTGGATATGTCACCGGCGAGGGGAAAGATTTCGCCCGAGTGAGTGTGGCGTTGAATGAAGGAGAATGGGGGCTCATAAGGGGATAGGTTTGCGTCGTATACGCAGGCGATGATTGATATTGAAAAGGCCAAAGTCAGGACCAAGCAGGAGGCCGACAAGTTATTGCAAAGTACTGAGCCTGTGAGTATATGCTCGGATCATGAATGGTCCTTGCTGATGCTACCAAGATGCTGCCTACTCGACAATTCTTGCTCACCAACACTCGCCTGTCACGCGGGGGCCCCGAGCCCCATCTCGTCTTCCGTATCCCCCTCCAACTGCTCTCCGAATCCATCCCCCAGATCGGCGATTTCCCTTACAAACCCCCTCCCCCTGTTACCGAGGCCTCCCCCGAGTGGCAAGGGCCGACGCTGTTCATCAAGGGCGAGCACTCGAAATATATCAACAAGCACAATATCCCTGTGGCAGAGCAGTTCTTCCCGAATATGAAGCTGGAAGTGCTCGACACGGGGCACTGGGTGCACGCTGAGAAGCCTGCAGAGACGGTAGAGTTGGTCAAGGCGTTCATCCAGGGAGCTTAGAACTTGGAAGTAGAGGGAGAAGGTGTGATTACGTCGTTATCAGAGATAAACTCTATTGCATATGCCGGTGCTTACCAAGATGATGTTTATACTCGCTTCCGGCCATTGATGCATTGCTGCAAATAGCAGTTCGCTACTGCGGTGGTGGAGACGATTACAAAGAGGCGCCATGCGCCGCGCGCCGGGGGGCAGCTGCAATGGGCAACCCTATGCATGGGTCTTACGGATGCTATGCACGATCTGGAGATATGCATGTATCTAGAAAGTCCACGAGAAATCCATGGCTGCGTGAGATCGGTTGTGCCATGTGTCAACAAGGATGCCGGGATTTGCTGGAATGAGGGCCTGACGGGACCTGACGTCGGTGGGCCGCTCGATCGTGACGGAGAGAATGACGTCGTGGTGGAATCGAGCGGCGGTGGTTGGTGGAGAGCGATATAAGAGCCGCAATTCCAGCCAGTCCCATGTCCCCCATTTCACACCCACCATGGCCCAGATATTCGACGACGGTGAGTACACCCCTGCCCGCCAGTGCCCCGCTCATCCCCCATAGCCAAGAACGCCCTCGCAGGCGATGCCAAGTACCGCCAGATGCAGGGCTTCACCCAGGAGCAAAACAACAAGACTCCCCTCACCACATACTTTGGAACAAAGGTGGCCGACACCGACCAGGCCCTCAAGGCTGGAGTCAGGGGTCCTGCTGTTCTTGAGGGTGAGTCTGTGATCTGATCGGCTTGAGCCGTAGCTGACAGTGCACCAGACTTCCACAACAGAGAGAAGATCTCGCATTTCGATCATGAGCGTATCCCCGAGCGGGTTGTCCATGCTCGAGGTGCCGGTGCTTTCGGAGAGTTCAAGCTGCACACCCCGTTGACTGGCATCACTACCGCCAAGGTGAGCTACTTGACTATAGTCCAAGACCTCTTGCTGACCCGATCTAGATCTTGACTGATACCAGCAAGACTTCGCCTTGTTACATCCGATTCAGTACCGTTGCCGGTAGCAGAGGAAGTGCCGACAGTGTACGAGACGCCCGAGGCTTTGCTGTGCGACTGTACACGGACGAAGGCAACTGGGATCTTGGTAAGTGTCATGTCCCGCGCGCTTTGTGACGTCGCTGACTTGTGAGTAGTTGGTAACAACATTCCCGTCTTCTTTATCCAGGATGCTATCAAGTTCCCCGACATGGTCCACGCCTTGAAGCGTAAGTGCATGCTTGTATGACCCAGCACCCGCTGACTCGGAACAGCCGAGCCCCACAACGAAATCCCTCAGGCCCAAACCGCCCACGACAATGCCTGGGACTTCATGTCCCTCCACCGCCAGTCCACCCACATGCAACAGTGGATCATGTCTGACCGCACCATCCCCCGATCCTACCGAATGATGAACGGTTTCGGTGTCCACACTTTCCGACTCATCAACGCCGAAGGCAAGAGCACCTTTGTCAAGTACCACTGGCTGCCCCACCTCGGTGCCCACTCTCTTGTCTGGGACGAGGCTTTGAAGATTGCTGGACAGGACCCGGACTTCCACCGAAGGGATCTTTGGGACGCTATTGAGGCTGGAGCTTACCCCAAGTGGGACTTGGGTGTGCAGCTTGTAAAGGAGGAGGACGAGCACAAGTTTGACTTTGACTTGCTCGATGCTACCAAGGTGAGCCTCATCATTCTTGACTTTTGCAAGTACTGACAACCGTTCAGATCATCCCCGAAGACCTTGTGCCAGTGCAGCGCATCGGTACCCTCACCCTCAACCGTAACCCCGTTGACTACTTTACCGAGGTCGAGCAGGTCGCTTTCTGCACCCAGCACATCGTCCCCGGTATGGACTTTACCTCCGACCCTCTCCTCGCTGGTCGAAACTTTTCCTACCAAGACACCCAGATCTCGCGATTGGGTATCAACTTTGGCGATATCCCTGTCAACAGGCCGGTGTGCCCGTTCATGACCAACCAGAGGGACGGTGCGATGAACATGACGAGTAAGACGAACCGCACGGCGTACCACCCGAACCGCTTCGACGCTCTTCCCACCACCGAGCCTGCCCAGGGTGGTTTCGAGAGCTATCCCGAGGTCGTCTCTGGTATCAAGGAGAGGAAGCTTGGGCCCAAGTTCCAGGAATTCTACGCTCAGGCGCAGCTCTTCTACAACTCGATGTCTGATACCGAAAAGGCCAACATGGTCAGCGCCTACCAGTTTGAGCTTTCGCACTGTTTCGAAGACGTTGTCATCCAGAACGAGCTCAACTGTATGAATGAGGTCGACCGTGGACTTACCGAGGCTGTTCACGCCACCTTCCCTCACTTGACGCTGCCGCCGCCCAAGCCCAACCACGGCAAGAAGTCCGAGTACTTGTCCCAGATCACGGGCAAGAACCAGGTCTTTACTGCCGAGGGTAGGAAGATTGGTATCTTCCTTGTTCCCGGTTACGACTACAAGCTTGTCGCGGCTATCCTGCCCGCTCTCGAGGCTGCAAAGACCATGCCCAAGTTTGTAAGTCAACCCATTCCCTGCATGTGCCCCTTCTGACATCTTCCAGGTCGCTCCCACTAAGGGTCCCGTCAAGTCTGCAACCGGCGAAGAAGTGACCGCCGAATTCACCTTTGAAGGCTGCCGATCCACCTTCTTTGACTCCCTCCTCTTCATCGGCGGCCCTGATGCCTCCTACCTCCCCAAGCTCAAGATCGGCCGTCTCACCCACGCCGCCCGCGAGTCATACATGCACCTCAAGACTATCGGTGTGCTCGGTAACGCCGCCCAGTGGCTCGTTGACATTGCCTTGCCTGGGGACTTTGGTGCCCAGGCCAAGACAGAGTTTACAAAGGAGAACGGTGTCGTCTTTGACCCGGATAATGCCAAGTTACAGAGCGCCAAGTTTGCGGAAGAGTTTTTGGACGGGGTGGCTCACCACCGTGTTTGGGACCGAGAGGTTGCGCACATTGCTGCTTAAGCTAGAGAGTTGCTTTTCTAAATCATTTGTACTATCAAAATCACATTACAATGTAGCAAATAATATATCTGAATGCACAAATGTCAATGTCTTCATTCGCCCTGTGCAACAGCTTCCAGAGTCCCGTTCCACATGTTGAGAATGTCTGTTTCCCACTCTTCATCCTCTTCTTCTCCAGCACCGGACCCTCCTAGAGATATGGGGGTGGCGGCGCTGCCTGGCAATGACGACCCTGGGAAGGAGCCGTATCCTCGGGCCCAAGCGAGCATTTTGGACCGGCCTGTGAGTATGATGGAACGTAGTCTTGTCCTATGACAAAGTTGTCAGCCTCAGACACTTCGGGGGAGAGAAAGATGGATTACCGCTCGGTTTGGTCCACCTGTCCCGCATAAGAGACTTTGACCGGCGTGCCGCCTAGGAGGACATTCTTCTCCCAGTCTTGCTCCCCGCTATCTGCCTCGTCCGACCTAGCAAAAGCAGAAGGTGGAGGCGACCATGCTTCTCCATTCAGCACTGCCAACCACCCTTTATCTACCTCTTTCAAGAACGCCAGCACAGCTCGCAATACCCGGCCGGCATGCTTCTGCTCCAGCTCCTCTTGATCTCCCTCCTGCGCTTCCTCACCGTCCTTACCATCGCTTAATATATCAGACCCTCCTATAAGCGGCAGAGCAGAAATGTAGCTCGGTATGACTGCAGTGAGGGTGAGGAGATATGATGTGCGGAGGTGGTCGAAGGGGTGGAAAGGGGGGATTTGGAGGATGAGCTGGAGGAGGGGCGATAGGCGGCTTAGAAGAGATGGAAGTGATTTCAGTTTGCTACAGAGCATATCAGCGGCCGGCTGTCTCAATATCGAGATTCTGGTATATGTTACATTGATCACACTTACAATGTCCTCTCATCTCTCTCGAGGGATGCCAGCCGATCGTCAAGATGCGTCCTCAGACGCGCTTCTTGCTTTGGCGTCAAGCGGGTCAAGATCTGTACTCCGCCGCTTTCCGTAGCACTGTCCCTATCTCTCTTGACTTGTTCCAGCGAGCCGGATCGAGTTACAAACCCGCCAGACATTTCGAGAACGTTTACAGGATGCATAGAGGCAGACTGAAGATGGCGATGGAGAAAGCGGCGGGTGGACGTGAAAGTGGAGGCAGTCGGTGGAGGCCATAATCGATAATCCTGGTGCTCTCAACGCTCTTCTTACAATCCTTCTCGCCATATAATCTCTCCAAAATACATATTTCCCTTCAGGCGTATTCTGGGGTACTCAGCTCAACTCGGCATAAAACACCAACAACAAGGGACTGAAGCAAGATGAAGTTTATGCTGGGTGACCTGCCGGTGTTGTTCCCGTATGATCGGTACGTTTCTTCTTCAATCATGGTTTGCCACCTAATATACGTGGCTCTACCATTCGCCTTGGATACATGTACTAATCATAAATGTATAGGCTGTATCCGGGTACGTTTGGGTGATCGATGCGAAAAGATGCGATCATGGACGGGACTGACAAATAGAATACAGAGCAATACTCCTACATGGCCGATCTGAAAACAACGCTCGATGCTGGGGTACGCCAAGCCGTTTCACTAGACCATGACCCTTCTTGGCTGAGAGGGCGGTCCATCTCCAAGTGTAACTTACTGATGTACATGACAGGGCCACTGTGTCTTGGAAATGCCTTCGGGAACAGGCAAAACCGTCTCTTTGCTCTCTCTGATTGTTGCCTATATGCAGGTCAGCTTCTTACTGCTTGAGATACTTCACCTCCTCTTGTACTGACCCGCTATCCCTAGTTTTACCCCGAAAAACGCAAACTCATCTATTGTTCGCGAACCGTACCGGAAATCGAAAAGGCGCTGGCGGAGCTGAAGCAGCTCATGGAGTACAGAGCACAGGAAGGTGCCAATGATGGAGAATTCAGAGGCTTGGGACTGACTAGTCGGCGTAATCTGTGTCTGCATCCTGAAGTGAGTGATCGACGTGGTCAAGGCGACACTGAACGAGATACTGACCGATTTCTGCCCAGGTGAGCAAAGAGAAGAAGGGCAAAATCGTGGATTCTAGGTGCAGAGACCTCACATCATCCTATGCCTGTGAGAAGGGTAGAGCAGACCCGGGAAGTGTGCCGTTGTGTAGCTTCCACGAGGTGAGCCTGTCGCGATTCCCAAGATACATCCATGTCTGATCGTATCATCACAGGAACTGAACAATTACGAACCGGGAAACCTCATACCACCAGGAATCCATACACTGGATGATGTCAAGAAGTACGGACAAGAGAAGGGAGTATGCCCATACTTTACTATCCGACGAATGGTATGCCGCCCATTCCATCGTTGACATGACTGATAGTTGTGACAGCTGCCTTTCGTCGACATTGTCATCTACTCTTTCCATTATCTGCTAGATCCCAAAGTTGCCGAGCAGGTATCTGCAGAGATGAGCAAGGAGAGTATTGTCGTTTTCGATGAGGCGCACAATATCGGTGAGTTGTTTGATCCGTCGACGCTTACAAAGCTCACGCTCGTACAGATAACGTCTGTATTGAGTCTCTATCAGTTGACCTTACAAGACCAATGCTCGAGTCGGCCGCCAGGAGCGTCAACAAGCTCAGCGACAAAATCGCCGAAATCAAAGAGACTGATGCTCAAAAGCTCACTGACGAGTATCAGAAGTTGGTTGAAGGATTGCAACAGGCAAATGGTGATGAAGGTGGTGCGGAGGATAACGACATGTTGGTCACGCCAGTGTTGTCGGCCGATATGGTGGATGAGGCGGTTCCAGGGAACATCAGGAAAGCCGAGCATTTCATTGCTTTCTTGAAGAGGTTCATCGAGTATTTGAAGGTGAGCCACTCGACGAGGGAAATGACTGGCTGTTGACGCGCTTGCAGACGAGGATGAGAGTACTACACGTCGTTGCCGAGACGCCTCAGTCATTCCTGGCGCATCTGAAAGAAATCACCTATATCGAGCAACGGCCACTGAAGTAAGCACTCGCCTCTGAGAGTCACATACATACACTGACAACATTTGCAGGTTTGCTTCTGAGCGCCTTACGTCCCTAATACGAACGCTCGAGTTGACAAATTTGGACGAGTATGCCGCCTTGCAAAAGATTGCCGGATTTGGTACACTAGTGGCCACATATGAGAAAGGCTTCTTGCTCATTCTCGAACCCTACGAGACTGAGCACGCTACCGTCCCCAATCCCATCTTCCATTTCACGTATGTGCCTCGTATGTGCTTTTGGCGATGGCTGCTAATTTGACTTAATCTGTAGCTGCCTGGACCCTTCACTGGCTATCGCTCCTGTTTTCGAACGCTTCTCTTCGGTCGTCATCACCTCCGGTACCATCTCTCCCCTCGACATGTACCCCAAGATGCTCCAATTCCAGCCAGTCATGGAACAATCATACCCCATGACCCTTGCGCGAAACGCTTTCTTGCCCATGGTCATCACCCGTGGCTCCGACCAAGTGCCGATATCATCGAGGTTTGAGGTCCGAAATGACCCAGCGGTGGTGAGAAACTTTGGAAGTATCTTGATTGAGATGAGTAGGACAGTGCCGGATGGTGTGGTGGCTTTCTTCCCAAGTTATTTGTATATGGAGTCCATTGTGTCTGCGTGGTACGATATGGTGAGTAGATCATTGACCTTCTGAATTAGCGCTGACTGCCGGTAATAGGGTATCTTGAGTGAAGTTTGGAAGCATAAGTTGCTGTTTGTGGAGACGCCCGATGCCATGGAGACGAGTATAGCACTCCGGAACTACCGGGAGGCTTGTAATAATGGCCGAGGAGCTGTTCTGCTATCCGTCGCTCGTGGTAAGGTGTCGGAAGGTATCGATTTCGACCAGTAAGTTTTTCGCGGTGCTTGTGGGGCGCAGCTGATGGCAAGCGATAGCAACTATGGACGAGCGGTCATCATGTTCGGTATCCCGTACCAGTATACCGAGTCGCGTATTCTCAAAGCTCGTCTCGAGTTTCTGAGAGACAATCACCGGATTCGAGAAAACGACTATCTCACTTTCGACGCCATGCGGCATGCTGCCCAGTGTGTTGGACGTGTCTTGCGAGGTAAAACAGATTGGGGTCTGATGGTGTTTGCCGACAAGGTGTGTTCTTCCCAACTCTCGCCGTCTCAAGTGCTGATAGTTTATACAGCGATTCGCTCGCGCGGACAAACGTGCCAAGCTGCCCAAGTGGATCAACAGCTACATCACTGAGGCTCACTCCAATCTCTCCACCGACGTTGCTATATCTCTCGCCAAAAAGTTCATCAGGCAAATTTCTCAGCCGTTCGACCACACCCAGACAGGTATCTCTCTCTGGACTCTGGAGGATATCGAGGCGAGGCAGCAACAAGAAGCGGATGAGGCAGTCAGGGATGATACGGCCTTGGACAAGGCCGTTGAGCAGAACACGGTGGGCGATGCGGTGAACGGAGCTAACAGCGGTGATGTCGCGATGGCGGAGGAGTTTGGGGACATGAATGATGCCGATCTGGCGGGAATGGATATAGATTAGAGGGCGTTTTGTACCCAACATCACGGAACACTATGTTGTAGTTCAAGCGGCAGAGAACCATAGCACTATGCAAGCTTTGCGAATGTGAGAGCGTACAACAGCCAGCGTTAGCCCATTATCAGAGGTGCAACATTGGTACAGTGAACAAGAACGGAGAAAGCATGATGTTGCGGGTCCGTGCTGTTCGTGGCACTTGAATAGCATCAACGCATGTACATGGCTGCTGCTGGCCATCGTCAGCATCATCACCTACCCCAACGGCCTACACGGCTCTCGGGCGCATAATGACTGGCTCGACACAAGCCCCTCGTCCTGCGTACGTACCCGGGGCCAAGGTTACCTTCCGGGCCCAAGGTTGATTCTGAAGGTAACCTTGGGCCCGGGTAAACGTCCCTCCTCCGGCCGACGCGCGGGGCTTGCGTCGAGCCAGGCATAAATGAGGGCACGCAAGACGAGCTGAGTTCTGTCTGGTTGCTCGCATGCTCCCTTCAAAAGCTGTATGATCTCAGATGCCGCATGGGATTGATGAGCTGTCTCAGGAACTGCCAAACAACACTGCACAAGTAGTGGTCAATCAATGCATACAGACGCACTCCGCATCACCCGCACAGCGGTCCCTTCGAATCTCCGCCGAGACTACAACCCATTCTCTTTACTATGGCTCGAGCATACATATGACATTGCGGATGCAATCTAGCAGGTTGTCAGCAGGTTCCAACTATCTAACCTGAAGCAGACTCACGCAAACGCAGACGATGACCAGAGGTCCAAGAACAGCCGCAGCCCCGCAAGAAACCCAAAAGCAACACCGTAGTAAACAGACGAGTGATGCGCAAGACGCCCAAACAGAGACCAACCACCGTTGATGTCGAAAGCAACACCAATCGATACCCAGCCCCACCGCCGAGTGAATGCGCTGATTCAGCGAAGGAGGTCGAAGTGGGAAGACAAGGTCGATTTGTAGACAAGGGGTACTGCCTTCGAAGGAGGGCGCAGCCGATAAGGTCGGCGAGGCCTAAAGACACCAACCGCCTCCGGCCTCTGCAGAAGCCAAAGGAGAGAAAGCGCCTATCAAAAGCGTTACGGTTCGCTAAACCTGTGGGCCTGGTGTCCCACATGGATTGCCATCAGGGATGGGCTTTAATAGTGCTAGGGAGGACTAGCCGTGGTGCCGTAGGATGCGGACGATCAGATCAAGCTCCCTGTTCGATAGGGTGTTTCTTGACTGTGGGTGCCATTCACTGGGGATGCCAATAATTGAATGGGCTTTTAGAAGCTCTAGTTGGTTGTGCTAGAGTGCCGGGATGCGGGCTTTGGTTTGATCTGGTGGTGGCGTAAAAGCCCTGGGTTCTGAGAGTGGCGTGAAAGCCCTGGTGTTCTGAGAGTGGCGTGAAAGCCCTGGTAATCTGAAAGAGGCGGAAGAGCCCGGAAAGGTGGCGGAAGAGCCGAGGATTTAACGTGGGTTAGGCCACGGGCCGGGGAAGGGGGAGTCTGTGACGAGAGTCAGTGGATGGAAGGTGAAGGAATGGAGAAGGAGTAGACGCACGCCACGCTTCCGAAGGTCCGACAAAGAAGAAGAGAAGAAGACATGCGAACAAGGCTTATATAGCGTGGGCAGCGATTCCGGCATTCTGCGGCGTCTATTGAGAGTGGCACTGTGCACTGTCCTCTTCCATACTCGTACATATGTGTTGTACACTTCATCAGTGCCTGATAAGGACCAAGTCCTGAATGGCATCTGGACGGTGAGACATACCATGGGCAAGAATCGGGTGCTTGAACCAGAGTACCAACCAGTGACAAGGTTCTGTATTACTACACGCCTCCTAGCTCGCCCCTCGCTTTACCTACATTACAGATGAATTTTGAGGTACTTCGGACCTATCTTATGCTGAACTTGAGGATCGGTGAGCGCTCTTGAGCTACTACGGTCAAGTGCCAAGGGACAGCCCTCATGGCGTTTAGATGACTGGATGACTGGATGTGCGACAATCAACGTCAGCAGCAGCGGGCGAAAGGCCACGCGTTGACTGAAGTCTTCTGGGGACTCGTTCAAGAAACCTACGTTCATTGGAATGAGATTACTGGAGGGACAGTTGATGATGGTCCCGTGGTTAGGAGGGAAGTGCTGGACACCACAACATCGCAGGTCTTTTGAGATGTCCAGCTTTCTCGTAGCATGACCAAAACTGGACCAGATGCACACGCATGGCTTGTACATCGTGTAAACATTCTCCACCATGATTGCTACTCTGACACAAACATCCAGGAGAGCACCCCAATATACCGTGTTCACCAACTCTCCTGAATCACCTTCCAACAGCAAGCGCTCCTATAGACAAACCCCTTTCAGAACCTGCACTCCAATTCTCATTCCACCCCACACAGTCTCCCAACAAGCCTACTTCAGACAAGAGATAAAGATAGAAGACCATCAGGACAGGGCGCTTCGACTTGGCCAAGGGGCCGACATCACCAAAAGCTTTGCCCCTCCGTCCTCATCCTCGTCCTCATCCCTCCTCAGTAGTCTCGCACCTATGTTGCCGCTGTAAAGAGCTCCTAGTGATCGACGTACCAACAAGGCACCGTCGAGAAAGAAGACAATATAATGAGATAACACCCTCGAGAGAGGGTTGGGACTGTAGACTATCTCGGTCTTTGCAAAAGTAGAATCCCGGGCTTCTTTTCTGCCTGGTCTCGAGTAGGTAGATCATCGTCAATTCTTGGCGGAGCCTTCTGCCCTCGCCCTCCTCGAATACCTCCACTGCCCAAAGCCTGATTCGTGGCGTGGTTTGAATTCGTCTGGACAGGTTCGGGAACTGCAGCAGCAGCAGGAGCAGGAGTGGGAGCGGTGGTAGGAGGCGTAGAAGCCCCCGGAATAGGCCGCACGAAAGAATGAGGTCTCTGTAGGAGCACAAACTCGTTCGTATTGCTTCCACCTCTTCCCCTCCCACCACCACCACTACCGCCCCCACCCCCATGTCTTCCGCGACGATCACCAGCTCGAGAGTTGTTTTGATTAGAGTCGATGTTGAGAGGAGGACGGTGGGGGAGTTGACCAGGGTTGTGGGGATTCATGTTTCGAGCCATGTTCATGGTTCCGGCAGGGGGGCGGAAGCCGCCCATAGGCGGACGTGGGGGGAGGCCCATTGACGAACGGGCTGGAAAGGGTCGGTTCTGAGTTTGTCTCATGTTCTGTGTCGGAGGATTGACGGAAGGCAGCGCCGGTCTGGGAGAAGCAGCAGGTGGCCTCGCCAATAGCGCCGGTGATCGCGAGTTGTCTCGTGGTTTGATCTCTGGTCCCGGAAAGGCTGGGTCGGGAACATTGGGAGAGGCAAGAGGGGAAGGGTGGCTGTCTGGAGACGCGTCCCGAGCGGCGGTTGGGTCTGCGGGAGAAGGCTGTCGACGAAGGATCTTGACCTCTTTGGGAGGTTCGAGCTCCTTTTTGGGCTCTTTGCGTCGATTGCCGTTGTTTCCAGCGTTGGCACCACGCCCGCCTCTCCGGTCATTGCCCCCGCCTGTTCGACGTCCGCCTCCTCCTCCTCCAAGTCGGTCGTTGCTCCCACGGTGATTGGGTCTGCGTCCGCCCAGGCCGGCAGCTTCGACTTCGACATCGTCGTCTCGCAACACCTGCAGGGACAAGTCGAATCGAGCAGCTTCCTGAAGAATGACATGACCTTCAGCTCTGGCGGTATAGTCGACGTTCTTGTCACCATCTCTTGCGGAAGGGGTGGGCTCTGCTCTTCCCTGCTCCACCTCTACAAACACCGGCGCATTGCCGACGTAGAGTATGGGAGGCGTCTCTCTGTCAAATCCACTTCCCTCCTCCATCGTCCCCCATTCTTTCTCCTCGACGTCCATGACCATCTTGAAGTACGCCACACACCTGAACACCCGATCCAGCCACATGGGCAGATTCTCCTCACCGTCCATCGGCGGGATCGCCAGCTCGTCGAGCATAGAGTCGACGGGGAGGGTCTCGGTGGGACGTTGGAGACGTACACCGCGGCCGCGTTTGTAGGAGGTGGTGGACTGAATGGCGAGGGAGGGGTCGGAAGACAGGACGGTGTGGAAGCGAAGGGCGTGCTCAATGTAACGGGCGGCGTGACGGGCGGCGACAGCGGAGGGGGTGGAACCCTTTTTCAGGAGGTCGAGAGTGCTCAGAGCTAGATAGCTTCAGTGATGTAGGCAGTGAATTGGTGGAAGACACTCACCTTCCTGAGGTATAACAATCTCCCATCCCTTGGCCACCAGTCTCTTGACGGCATTCTTCGCCCACATCAACGCCGAGATATCGACGACCATCACCCTCCACTGCTCCTCCCCTCTCATGTCCTCGTCGAGCTCGACATCGTCGGGACGGCCCAGGTCATCGTTCGGATCACGGCGAGTATTGAGAAGCGCGCTAGCGTCGACCGAGTAATCTTGCGGTGCGGGGGAGGAGATATTGGCCGTACGGACTTTTGATTCAAGTTCTGATATTTGGTGGTTGAGGTACGCGGCAGAGAGTGATTTCTGCAACGCTGCTTGCCGAGTGGCCTGGAGAAATCAGCGAGGGAGGTGGAGAGGGTGCGATCACATACGAGATCGCCCCTGGCAGCATTCTGCTCGGGCATGCTTGGTAGAGGAGAGGGTGTGAGAGTGTAAGGGTGGAGGCTAGAAGAGCATAGTGGTTACAGAGGGATATACATACTGCGTCGCGGAAATGATAGAGATGAATGGGGGCAGTGTGACGTGGCATTCTACTCCTCTCTTTCATCTCATTTCTTTCCACTTTCTCGAATTCTGCCATACACCGAGCACCATGTCCAGATCATTACGCACCCTCCAAGCCTCCCTCAAGCAAAGCACCCGCTTTTTCGCATCATCAGCGCCATCCTCATCGGGTACGTACGCCTGTATACGCCCACACACGAGCTGACTTGCTCCAGCTTATCCCTTCAACCCCGCTGCTCTCCAAAAGTCGTCACCATCTCCTTCCAACCCCCCTCCCCAAAATCTACTTACGCCCAAAAACGGCTGGTCTCTGATTACGCACCTCAACAAATCCATTCCCCCCTCCCCTTATGCCCACCTCTTTGCCCGTCGCGGGGCCGACCGTCTGCCCACAGGCTCCGTCCTGACAGTCGTGACCTACTCTGACCCACAAAAGAAGAGTATCAGTCCCTTTAGTGGGGTGCTCATGGGCGTCAACAGGGGAGGGGTGGATACGAGCTTTAGACTGAGAAATATCGTGAACAGGGCGGGCGTGGAGATGACGTTCAAGTTGAACAGCCCGATGATCAAGGAGATCAAGGTTGTCAAGCGGGCTGAGAAGGGCAAGGGGCAACTGAGGGATTTGAAGAGAGCCAAGGTCAACTACTTGAGGGAGAGACCGAGTGTCATGGCGGCCATCGCCCGGGCGTTGAAGTCGGCCAAGGCAGAGGAGACGGCGGCAGCCAAGGAGTCGTCGTAGAGTACGGGTCTTTTGCCCATGTATGGGTTGCAGCATTCCGGAACAAGGAGCGCATCCATTCAAGCCACACCATTCACCTCCTGATTATAAATCTCTATTCAAACTAACAAGATAATAATGGCTCAATATATCTCCAGCGTCGCCCTCGATACTGCGAAACATCGCTCGACTGAGATCTTTCAGATACAGCCCCTCCACATTTGTTGTAGCAAAGCATGCTTGGCAGTCTTCTCTTGTCCAGCCTGGTGACCCCTTTTGATCTCTCTCGACACCTCGCTCATGTTCCACCCTGTTCCTTTTCCAAGCGCCGAGCCCCTGACAGTCTTGGCCTTGACTTTCTCAGTCTCCAGACACAAGTCCAACACCAACCTCGCCTTGTTTCCCGCCTCGAATCCTGTCACAATTTGCACCTTGCTCAGCCAAAGAAGGAACACCGTAATCTATTCAAGATGACTGCATGCAGATCAACCTGCCCAAAAGAAATTACTCTATCTCTCTTCTCCCCGTTCTTTTCGATGCAATGATCGGCTTTTAAGCCTCGGTGGGGGCCAACATGACTATAGAGATGATCAGCACTTAATCCTGCAACTTGCACTGCTGCAAGGGACTCACGTTCGGGTCGAACAAGAGAGTCAAACTCTTCAGAGGTGAGCTTGCCGAGGGCGAGGGTAGACTCCTTGAGGGTAAGACCTTCACGGTGAGCCTTCTTGGCAATCTTGGCGACATCTGTACTCATCCCGTTAGCCCTCGTCCCGATTTCGTCCAACTCCAGACTGACCATCGTAACCAAGCTTGCTGTTCAAGCAAGTAGCCAACATCAAACTCTCATTCATGATCTTCTTGATCTTCTCCTCGTTGGCCTTGATACCAACCACACAGTTCTTGGTGAAGCTCCTGGAACCGTCGGCAAGAAGACGGATGGACTGGAGGAGGTTCTTGATGAGGACGGGCTTGAAGACGTTGAGCTCGAATTGACCGTAAGAGCCGGCGACGGAGATGGTGGTGTTGTTACCCATGACTTGAGCGGCGACCATGGTGAGGGCCTCACACTGAGTGGGGTTGACCCTGAATACCTGTCAGTAGGATTCAGAGTTCCATTCAAAATGTACGCACTTGCCGGGCATGATGGAAGATCCGGGCTCGTTCTCGGGAAGCTCGAGCTCACCAAGACCACATCGGGGACCGGAACCGAGGTATCGGATGTCGTTGGCAATCTTCATCAAGCTGACAGCGACGGTGTTGAGGGCACCGGAAGCCTCCACGATGGCATCGTGGGCGGCAAGAGCCTCAAACTGCGACCACATTAGATGATGAAGATCGAACGAAGATAGGACTTGCCTTGTTGGGGGCAGTCTCGAACTTGTGGCCAGTGATCTTGGAGATCTCCTCAGCGACCTTGACATCAAAGCCGACCCTGGTGTTCAAGCCAGTACCGACAGCGGTACCACCCTGCGCCAAGTAGCCCAAGTTCTTGAGGGTGCTCTCCACTCGACCGATACCCCTCTCGAGCTGGGTAACGTAGCCGCTGAACTCTTGGCCAAGAGTCAAGGGAGTAGCGTCCTGCAAGTGGGTTCGACCGATCTTGATAATGTCCTTGAAGGACTCGGCCTTCTCAGCAAAGGCGGCGTGGAGCTCCTTGAGGGCGGGAAGGAGCTGCTCGTTGATCTCGACGACAGCAGCAACGTGCATAGCCGTAGGGAAACTGCTCAAATCAGTAAAGTCTCTACGATAACTTTGAGTACTCACGTGTCGTTAGAAGACTGGCTCATGTTGACGTGGTCGTTGGGGTGAACAGGCTTCTTGGAACCCAGCTCTCCACCCATAAGCTCAATAGCCCTGTTGCTAATGACCTCGTTCACGTTCATGTTGGTCTGGGTACCGGACCCGGTCTGGAAGACGACAAGAGGGAACTCGTCGATGAGCTTGCCAGAGATGACCTCGTCGGCAGCCTTTTGGATGTTCTGAGCGACATCGGCGGGGAGACCATAGGTCTGGTTGACGATAGCGGCGGCCTTCTTGAGAACGCCAAAGGCCTTGATGAGGGGAGGGGGCATTCGCTCGGTGGGACCACCTGTTCCCATAGTGTGAGCTATTCGGCAATCACTTGCACCCTCGAGATGAGGAAGGCGCTCTGCAGAGTAAGCTGGACGTACCAATGTCAAAGTTCATCAAACTTCGCTGGGTCTGGGCGCCCCAGTACCTGGTGGACGGGACCTGGAGGTCACCGAAGGTGTCTTTCTCGATTCTGTACTCTGACATGGCGGTGGAGGAGGTGGAAAAGGCGCGGGGGGTGGCAGAAGCAACTCGGGGGATGGCGCGGTTGAGCTGCAGGGTGTGAGATGGGAAGACGATGGATGGTTGCGCACCTTTGTAGCGTTGCGGGCTGCTCTGGAGATGGACATGGCAGGTCAGCTGGCAGAAACGAAGACAACGGCGTCGCGCTCGCCCACCTCTTTTATACCAGCCCCCCAGGCACGCCGGCTTTCTTCGGGGTCTTTCGGGGCGGACGAGGACTACGCTGCGCTGTATGCATGCTGGTGGGGAGTGTTGGGTGAGGGAGGTAGGCGTATGGATGGCTATCTTTTGGGGCTGCCAGTAAGTGGTGGCCAGGCAGCGGGGGCTCGATGCCCTGTTGGATAACTGCCACGGCCATTTACTGGCGGTTATCAAGGGCCAAGTTTTTGTGACTTTATACATTTCCAAGTAGCATTACAGCATCGCCTGTTTTCCGTTGCCCCTCTTTGCATCTCCCATCCGCCTGCTGCACCTCATACCGGTGAATCATCTCGCAGACAGGGGAACCATACAAGTTGGCTGATTCGCGTCAAAGAACGCGAGCCCATTCGTCCAAATTTGATGCCGCTCCAGCGACGGCCGCTTTCGAGGTTCAGTTGTTGCTGCTCAATTGCTGCTTCACAAGGCATCTTTCCAGTCTTCTCACCACTCATCTATCCAGCACCATGGCCACAATTCCAGCCCGTCTGGCAAAGGCCACAAAGTCCATTCACTCTTGGGAAGAGGCTCGAAGCGCCTCTCTTGCTGCCTACCGCACATGGTACAGATCCGTATGTCCTTTGCCCTCTTATTGAATTTATGCTCATTTGCGTCGTTTGATCTGAAGGCCCCTGAGATTGTGCAGCTCTATGGACTGCATGTATCCCCCACCCTCGTCCGAATGAAGATCAGACAAGATTTCGAGAGAAACAGGGAAACCATCACCGACCTCTCTGTGATGAACATTATGCTGCTCAAGAACCACCAGGAGTTCCAGGAGACCATGAACTTGTGGAAGCAGGAAGTGAGTTGGAATGAGTGGATTGGTTGGGTCTGAGATTGCTCAGTGCCGAAGGTGTCCGACCCCAGCTGTATGGCGTGGGCGACCTTGGAGAACCCCGACGATCTCTACCCGTGAACCGGAAATGTTCCAAGAAGAAGATGCTAATCAGTCTCCCCTCTAGCCCCATATCATGCACTGGTTCAAGTCGATCGAAGACCCTCCCAAACCCAAGACCTTCCTCGACAAATTCTACGCTGGGCGAGACGACCCATCACAACTCGAGCCTACGTACTAGATGGGGGATCGTGGGGTTGCGGCTGTTAAGAGAGGATGCCGAGGGATGGGGCGAGAGTGCGACGGGCGCATGCATAGGACTTTCTGATATCTGAAGGGTTCCAGAAACGTCGAGTGACAGAGTGGGAGTCATCTGGTGGCAAAAGATGGAACACAGGGCGTATGGCCTCTGAAGTGGAATTGGAGCACCTGGACCGTACCGAAGGCAAGCCGATAAGACACTGACTGGCATACCCTCCCTGGCCCGTTGAGCGTACATGCACTGCAAGTCAGTCCATTTCTCAGCACCTACTCGAAAGAGTATCAGGCATGTTTTACCGCATCCACCGCAATTTGCAACGCTGACTTGCCACCATTTGCATACCATCCGGACCCGCATATATGTCCCATCTAAGCTGTTAGCTGATACATGATGCAATTACAATACTCCAACTGATCAAGTGACGGAATGACATCTTATTACGATTGCCACCGGGATGAGACACTCTTGTGCTCCTTTTGACGTATGGCCTCGTATCTACCGACACAAGCTATGCACATGGGGATCCAGAAGCATCTGCCGAAGGCTTACTGGCCGTGGACTGAGAGCGTACATTGTCATTTGTCTGGTCCAGCGTCGCCATCAATTTGGACTTAGGGCAGACGGATACAGCAAGCACGCGCGATGACTGCAATGTTCTCTGTAGCAATATCCGAAGAACTGATATCAGGGTTCCACCAGTATATTACAGCACTCGGGTATACATGAACAAACAAGGGGATAACGATGCTATGGCCGTGAGATCAAGAAGGATAGCAAGAAGGTGCCCTGTTTGTGGCAGGTAACACTCTCCTACAAATGATAAGATTGTACTAGCTGTACTCGAGTACACGATTTGCTTTGTTTGATGGCATGGCGTGTGCTACCCGCACACTCTTGACAGGCACTCGCCGGCGCCTGACTACCTGTCCCCTAGACTGTGGTCCTTATCTCTCGGCCACCGGCACTTCCTCTGCCTCACGGCTCTCCCCCGCGTGCCCCGACACGTAGTCCATCTTGCCCGTATCTCTATCCGGGCTGACAAGACGGGCGTATTCGAGATAGAGACGGAACATGTATGCTTGGAGGTCTTCTCTTCGCCATGCTACACGAAATTGTTAGCGATCGCCCGGAGGGTCAAAAGGAAAAGGACATACTTCGCTCAACCCAACATTGGCCATTGAGCGCTATTCTGCGAGCAACTTCATCGTGGCCACCCCTGCCTGATGGATTTCCTCGGAAGCTGTGTCCACTGTCAGAATGGCCTTCGACTACACAGTCGAAACTCACAAAGTCATGATGGAAAACAAGTCCGAGTAGTCCATCTTGGATGGGATGTATGCGTACCACTCGGGGAGAGTACGGGTATTCCACTCGGGGAACACGGTAGATTTGATGACAACGCTGGAATATGGTCAGCAGTACTTCAACAAGATGTGTGTTTACTTACTTGTTTGAAGCCATCAGTCGTGGGAAACGGGATGACCAAGCATTGCCGTCAGTCTACAGCATCATGTCAGCCGCGGCACCCAGTGTGACAGAGATGACTCACATCAAAAACGTATTTGTACTCGTTGCTCTTTTCAGAGCTGTCCTTGCCAGCAAAGTCGATTTCCTTGTTCATCTCTTCGCACGTCCCATCATCCCAGTCACATTGCCAGTGGCCACCGGCAAGCTTGACGTCCATGTAGTACTGCCCAAGCTCCCTCAATGGCAGCCTTGCAACCTCAGCCTCACCTGAGGAGCCGACCGGGGAGAGGACTTCGGTGTAGTCCTCGCCCTTGTCGTTGGCAAGGAAATGGAGTCGCTCTCGGTGGGACTGTCGCCATTTCGCACCGGAACCCTTGTTGTGCTGGAGACCTGTCGCAAGACCCCTCCAGTAAAGCTTGCCACTCTTCTTGGACCAATCAGGATCGTGGCCGACATCATCACGACGACCATCTTTGCCGATAGGAGTGACGGGGATATCACCGTTGAGTGCAGTCTTGGAAGGCACAAATATGGGCAAGAGTTTAGTATGCGGCTTAGGGTGGGTGTCGGCGTTCTTTTCCTCGAGGAGCATACCGTGATTCTCCATGTAGGCTGGGTGTTCACAGATGTCCATGGCGGAGAGGTGGGATGAGATGAAGGTGTCGGAGGATAGCTCCTCAACGACGCCCTTATTGAGGGGACTGTCCTCGGCACAAGCCTTGTGCCAGTTCTGCTCGGGGCGATCAATCTCGTCCTTGCTCGTGACCACTCTACCCTTTCGGGCAGCGTCGAGGAGCTCAGTCTCGCGATCCTTGTCGAGAAGGATGGAAGGTTGATCGTGGATGGTGAATGTAGCCCTGAACGAGATTTAGAATTGCACAGACAGTAACTGGCTGGACTGCTTACCTGAAAGCACCGATATGTTTGATGAAGGGCTCCATCAAGTTGATCTGACTGTCAGCCCTAGGTCGACTCGCCCACCAAGTGTCTCTAGAATAGTCGTCGTTCCATTGCAGCTCGACTTTGCCATCGTGAACGATCAGAGTGAATGTTTCGGCCACTTTCTCAGCTTCGGCCATTCGGGCCTTGAGAGACTCGATGGGCAAGGCGTAGAAGGGAAGAAGCGACTCCATGATGCTGCGACGAGGTTAGATAGACCAGTGACAGATGGCGCCGACTCACGCGTCGTATTCATCAGGCAGCAAGACATTGTTGGCCTGAGCAAATATCCACCACTCATCGAAGCCCTTGGGTGGCTGTCTTCCCCATTTGTCTACATACGCGTCCACCGCCTGGTCCAGCGTCTTACTCTGCTTGGCGAGCATGGCATTCCACTTGACCTCTCCATCCCTCAGCAAACCCAGTATGGGATGCGATAGACCAACGGGAAGCTTCCTGGTCTCATTGCTGAGGGCTGAAAACTCATCGTCAAAGTCAGGGTCGGCATCGTTGCCTTCTGCCGGAGGTGCCTTAGCTCGGACGATACCCGCAGAGATCTCCTCCAATGCGAGAACCTGAGCTCGCGCCTTCTCGGCTGGTGAAAGAGCGTCGAAGGGTGACAAGAATAGACATTGCCCCTCCTCGTCAAACTCTAACGGTCTAGACGGGGTGTTGGGATTGAGGATCGGTGGGAGCCATTTGGAAGGGGAAAAGTAGGATGCGTCGGGTTCGTGGTGGGGGAGATTCGGTGTGAAGACTGGGGGAAGAGTGGAGGGGGCAAAGGTGTGCAGGAAGAGGATGGTGATGGCGCCCGAGAGAATGAGAACGACGAATCGTCTGGGAAGAGGGATCTTGAAGGGAGAGGAGAAGGGCAAGTTGAGAGCCATCGCAACGGGAAAAGGCGACTACTGTCGCGTGCGTGCGTCCTTGTTGCCGATTCTTCTTGTCCTGGGTGAGAGAGGGGGGGGGGTGCCGGGGCGCTGGTACGCGTTATCTGAAGTTTGAAAGTATAGCGGAGCGACCAACCGGGATGGCAAAGAAAGAGGAAATGAGGGGCAACTAACCGCGTGCCTAGCTGCGAGCACTGCCTCTTGTGCGCCTATCTCACGCGCGTGTCTTTGGCGCTTCTATATCAAGAAGAAGTTGGTGGTGCATTTCTTCAGCATTGTCTAGTCCAGCTGCCAGGGCCTGCATACTGAGGATTCCCTTTAGAACAGTGGGTAAAGAGCATAGACAGACTGGAGGAGCAGAGGCGAAAGTCGGTGAGATTGAGAGTGCGACTTCACGTAATCGGGCGAGACCTCGGCGAGACCCAAGCGGGACGAGTCGAGCTCTTCCCACCCAGAGGTAATAAGAAGCCAATTCGTCACCACTTTTGACTTTTCTTCTCGATGAACGAGAAAGTGTTGCTTCCTGGCACTCTGAAAGGTTCGCCGCCGGACGTATATTGACCCCTCGGCTAGACTCTCCTAAACGCAGCCTGCAGGTCATACATATACGTAGCCGTATCAGTTTTTGGAAGTAGCTCGCAATGACCCCTTGACGCACTACTCTCTGCCATTGAGCAGCCATTATATATCATCGGACGCAGTGGACTCGCCTTACAGTAATACATTGGCGAGGCAGCAGCATCACTCAAAGCTCGGACCACCGCGTTGCGACGCGTGTGAAGACATCCCGTGTTGTTTTGCTTTCCTCTTTCTTCTCTATCTCCCTCGTCCTGAATATGCTGGCTTCACGTCTCCCATACCAGTTCTCTCGCCCCAGGGACCCAGATGACTCTCGCATAGCAAGCATCAAGCCCACTTCTCGCAGAGTATGGGTGAGGAGGCCAAGAACTCTCTCAAACCCCGTCAAGGACCTCAGGCGTGAAATCGTCTTTCGCCAGGCTGTGCGAAACTTGGATTTCAATTCCAGTGTGTTTTCTGTCATCCAAATGTATAAGGGCTGACAACTTCATACAGACACAAAGCTAGGGCACAAGAAGAAGAAGCGCCACCCCTCCAAATCCCAAGTCCTCACCGAGCTTCACAAGATCTCTCCCACCCCCCAAAAGACCGACTCTGTCTCGCTGTCTCCCCGCAACGAAGAAGCTTGGGAGGCTTTCCGTTGCATCTGTGAGCCCATGCCTTCGGATGACGATGGTGCTGCTCCTTGCGGGCCGACCGTCCCACATCACAGGCGATTGAGACGACGAGTAACACAAGAAGCGGAGGACGGAAGTTGGAATACAGTGAGGGAAGGCGCTACATCCGAGGCCGTGGTCGTATCGAAGATGGAAGAGGAGAAAGATGAGGTGTCGATTGAGCAAGACTCGTCTGATGACGACGAGAAAGAGGAACAATCGACCAGTGACGAAGAGGAAAACTTGGAGATTGAGAGGTGGGAACAGCACCGTCTCGCATCTACCGATGATGAGCAGGTCTTGAATCGTGGAGAGGCTCGCGTCGTGTGGCAACAGGGCTCAAAGCTGAGTTTTCGCCTTGATGAGGGAAACGAGGAGGAGTCTACTGGGGAGGTGGAAGAGGCGTATCGGATTCTCTCTGCCGGCGGCACCTTATCCTATGTCCAATCCCATTCCCTAGCATCTCCCCCAACTCTCGCTGACGATATGGCACCCACCGATCACTCTCACACCTATCCAGAAACCCTTCACCATGCGCTCTCCACATCCTTGCTGCTCTCGCCTCTGAT